AAATAAAGGTTAATATTTTATCATAAACGTTTATTCAAAATCTTTCTCCGCAACCGGCGGAGTGAGATAAGACCGCGCGACGAAAACGACACGTAGCCCGCGATAAGACAGTCTCGTAGACGCTGACCCATGCAGCTGCCAAAACACATAGATTGACTCCTAGGAGTAATTCGAACACTTTACAGATAAGAAAATTCTGTTTCATCGCGTATCGAATCTGACCAATTGCGGCGAAGAGGAGTACACTCTTCAACGTTCAATTCGGGAATAATCAAATAACAGGGATTTAATTTCGATGTCAAAATACATAGAAGATGGTATTTTTCAACAAAGTGACGTGGTAGAAAAGTGTGACATATGCCTACTCGGTAAACAAACTGCTACACCCTTTCCGTCAAACAGCGTATAATTTCGACGGCACGATCAGAGTACAATTCTCGTGCCGCAAATGTAGAAGCGCTGTCTTGGAAAAGTCGGAGTGTTGTAAATACTCCGAACTGTTTCCTCTACAGTTCACGTTGGTGCACTGCGAAATACAATCCGCAGGGAGCTCAGTGACGAACACGTCGCGTCTCTCTGGATGCTATCTTATTTTTCCTGTGGAAAACCTCGGTGGGCCTAGAACTGCGACCGGGGTCCCGAGCCGATACCGTAACGCAGGAGGATGCACCGGTTAGCACCAGACGAAACACCGGTTAGAACGGATCGTTGCAGAACGGGTATATTGTGACTTCCGCGTCATGACGTCAAAATTAGAATTAGTCTATAGACGGTAGCAGTCACTACGATAAAGTTAGAGATTTCTAAACATGAAATTCTTATAGACAATTGTCAGCTCTACATTAGTGTTCCTTATGCATAAAACACTGAATTCCTAACCGTTTAGAAGATATGAGCATTTAAAGCTTGTCTGGCATATAAGTGACTGTACTACTGATCATATACATATACGTCATTCAGAATCATTTATATTAACACATACATTTATTCAAACATATATAATATGCTTTATTCATACAATTATCATGCTTTTATTCATACATGTTTTAGTTAATACAAATTACTTATATGTATATGCATTTATACGTATATACGATTTTATATACACTTATAATTATTCATATTATAATAGGGATTCGTTACGAGAGAATAATAGTTTAATCATATTAATCTCATAAACGGACGAATGGTCCCAGCGCATTCCAAATGATCCGGCAAAATATAGATAAGACCGGATATTGATAGATGTGCACGTGGTCCGCGCTATGGTGATCCCACGTAGACGTGCTAAATAGCTATCAGCCAAAAGCACGTAGAGTAACAGCCACACGTGCATTTTTGCTGACAGTGCATCAGCATATTTCTCTCTTACGACGAAGCTCTCACCACGACTAATTACTCCCACTGCGAGCGCGAAACGTATTATATATAGTTCGCCATGACAGTCGAGCAGACACTTGAACTTGTAACACAGTAGAGAGTAGAGACAGAGTTCCGCACAGAGCGTCATCCAGTTCAGTACCATAGTAAGTCGTGCATCAGCCGTCATCGAGTTCAGACACTTAGTAGTATCATTCGACGCGAGTCAGTCGACTTATAAATTCTGTCAGTTCAAGTGAAATATATAATTATTCAACGTGTCAACGCTATTCATCCAGTTCTGTCAAAGTGCGAGTAAGAGTCTAATTACTATAATTTAATTATATTCAACATTGTTATCAATCTAATCCATTGTGAATTTAATAAAAGTGTTAATCAATTAAACCATCATCAACAATTAATTCATTAATAATTCTATCAAGGATATTAATAGGAAGAATCTGATTATTACCTTACTGCATCCAGTTCGGTTAATTAATTTAGAAGTGAATATTAATAAAATTAGAATCAATAAACGTCCTCATTGTTACATTGATAAAATATATTAAACTTCTAACATTTTGATCATTGCAATTTACAAAGAACATTCTTTAAGAAGACCATTCCTCTTTATAGATTTAAGTAGGGGGTTAACCGGTATAGAAGCAACTTGTGAGCAGGGTGCGCATATTTTTTCCCGCACGGCTCGCTTCCCCTGTTTTTCGCCCGTATTTCGAGCCCCACTACTATTCCCCTCATGCGCCTTCGCTGACCATTCCTAGCATATCCCCATCAAGTACTAGACCCCGCCATGGTCGCGTCGTCCCCACTTTCCGGCCGACCGAAAAAATATGCGATGCCTGCTTGTGAGTCGCTCCCGTTAACCATAGGAAGAAGCTGGTATAGAAGCTACTTGTGAGTCGCTCCCGCCTCTTCCATCAAGCTCTTAGTTATAAGTCAGTTCCTAGCCGAGCATTTACCAAAGCGCTCCCGGAACTCAAGATGGATGGGACTCAAGTAAGAATGTTCACCGTATAAAATATTGAACTTACTATTATTCAAATAAGCCATTTTAACTGGCGTATTGTATCAGATCCGCAAGCAACAAGGACGTACGCGAAAACGCAGGCCTAATAAAAGAACTAGACGTTCCGGTGCCAAAGAACGTTCGAAAAGATTACAACGACAAATTATTAAGCAATTAAAGGATCAACTGCCATTTTTAAATTTACCCAAGGAAACATCGCATCCGGAAAGGCCGTGTTACTCGCCCGTTTCGCAAGCATCCACCATAATAATAGAATCCGATTCAGATGTAGAAACAATTATTCACGAGGAAATTAATACAGACAACGTGATTAAAGTAGCAAATCACGCAGAGATTCCAAACGAATTATTAAATCGTTGCGTAAAGGAAGTCAAACTTTATATGCAAGGATAGTGTAGGATGCAGAAAGGTTAAATAAATAAAACAAATATTATTCAAAGTTATTTTAAATCCATTGCTTTATTATTTTTCTCCGATATCCTTATACCAATCCGCACGCCTGCAGGGACGTTCAGTCGTCTACCGGGTTGAATTGTAGGATTGGCGAACCCACCTAACCTGCACGACAAATAAAAATAAATTTAATTAATAAAATTTCAATTCATAATAAATTCTACGTAAATTAAATATGCATACCTGGGTGTCCCTCGAGCCGCTCCGAGGCACTCGTGGTCCGTCGTCCAGTAAACCGTGTATTCCCTGGGCTGTGTTCCTCTTCAAGGACCGGTCCGATACGCGCGTTACGTCTCGGTCCACCGGGACGTAACAATATGATGACAATATGATCACGACGACGTGACAAACTGCAATTTCGATCACCACACAGGGCAAAGGGCTTCCGGCTTTAAACGGTCCCGACCGAAGTGCACTGCTCTACCAGCGAAACTCGCTTCTTACAAAGATCGAAGGAAACACCTTCGAATATCTCTCGAAAAACTAGGATCGAGTGTATGAGAGATCCTCTCTCGCGAATTAAGCGCTAAGCGGATTAAATTCGTCTAGCATTTGGCTTAACCGTACCGTTTATTTTAAATTCTCGCAAACATATAATAAATTAATTTATCGACTTACTAACTAACCGTTAATCTCTTCGTCGGATAAAATTCCGGATTTGTATTATATGTGCGGAGACACATGATACGCAATGCAGCTCCTCCGACTTATACGTATTTTTAATATAGGTAAAATCAACTAGAAAAGTTATCGTTTCGAGAGATGTCAAAATTTTTAGAGAAAATAGAGTGTAGAATGAACGATAAAGATTTTGAAAGCGTAAACAATAATCTAACTATACTCCGAGAAGATAGAGATGATGAACAGAATCTGAAAGATTGTAATGACGTAGACATATTTATTTCGGAAAATCCAGAAATTACAAATCCAAAGGATTGTAACGTTGAAGCAGCCCAGAGAAGATTAACAGGTCGACCTAGGATTGTAAGGACGGGTAGGCCAGGAAGTCCGAGAAAACAATACAATACCGCCGACAGCGATATAAATGAATGCATAAGCAACTATGATGAATTAGAAGACGACGTTTTCTTAGATGCAACTGCCAATTTTGCTGAAATATCGTTGGAAGAAGCAATTCAAAGTGAAGAGAGGGGACACATGCCATAGTACAAGAAATTAAATGTTTATTGAAATGGTTGAAATGACATTTGGACCATAGTAGACTCTCCTAAAGAGAAAAATATAGTGGACAATAAGATAGTGTTAAGCAATAAGGTTAGTAGTGATGGAAGTCTTAATCGTAGAAAAGCTAGGTTAGTAGCGAGGGACTTTTCTCAAACGAAAGGCATTGATTATAATGAGGCTTTCTCACCTGTTGCCAGGTTGGAATCTTTAAGAATCCTAATGGCCTTAGCAGTAGAATACAATTTATCGATTCATCAAGTAGATGTTGCTTCCGCCTTTTTGAATAGATACTTAGATGAGGAGATTTTCATGAAAATTCCAAGTAACTTAGAATATTTTCTTGAAATTATAATAAAACGCGAAAAGGATCAATCAATTAGATAATAAAGTTTGCAAATTGAATCGTTCGCTTTATGGGTTGAAACAAGCGAGCAGACAGTAGAATCAGAAGGTACAAACGATTCTAAAGGGAGTGAATCTGAAACAGTCATTGTCTGATCCCTGTATTTATTTCGATAGGAATGGTTGTGAACTTGCAATTGTACTTGTGTATGTTGATGATCTATTGATTGCAAGTAATAATATTAACCAGATTAGACTAATTAAGGAACACTTAATGAAGAATGTTATTACTAAAGATTTAGGTGAAGCGAAGTATTCTCTCGGCATAGAGATTATTAGAAAAGATAATGAGATAATGCTAATTCAAAGGAGATACATTACAGAACTGCTCAAGAGATTTAAAATAGAAGAGTGTAAGCCAAGCGACACGCCTTCTGAAATAGATGGTTCTCGTATGAATGATGCCAATATTGGCAAAGTGAATGCGCCATATAGGGAGTTGATTGGAGCATTAATGTATTTATCAGTATGTACAAGGCCTGATATTATGAAAAGTACAGTATATTTGTCCCAATTTATTTCTAACTTTGATAACTCGCATTGGATTGCGGCCAAGCGAATATTGAGGTACTTAAAGAAAACAGCCAACTTAGGTTTATCGTTTAAGGGGATGACGGTGAAAGAATTGATTGGCTTTGTAGATGCTGACTGGGGATCAAATAAAATCGACAGAAAATCCTTTACACGATACGCGTTTATGTTAAATAACGGGGCAGTGTCTTGGAAGTCGCAGAAACAGAGAACAGTCGCGCTATCATCGGCCGAAGCCGAATATATGGCAATAGCAGAATCAGTCAAAGAGGCCATATGGTTAAAGAACTTTCTGGAAGAACTAAGCATTAAAGTCCATCTTAAATTGTACAACGACAATCAGAGTGCAAATTTACTAGCAAAGAATCCTATACATCATACTCCACCACACTCCCTTCCAAGCACATTGACTTGCGGTATCATTTCGCAAGAGATGCAATAAGAGAACTGAATATATGTCTAGAATATTTGCCTTCTGAACAAATGATAGCCGACGGTTTAACAAAAGCTTTAAATAAGCAAAAGCATTGGTTTTGTGTTCGTGGTTTGGGTTTAAAAGATGTTTTAATATTAAGATGTACACATGGTTTGGTTTTTTTTCTCTCGAAATTATTGTCATAATATCAAGAATTTACATGCTCGCATTGAGGGAGGAGTGTTAAGAAAGTAGTTTAATTTACCAATGCGCGCATGCGTGATATTGTGCTCGTCATCTCGTGTGTACCGGACTTTACTTCTGATATAGAATGCGTTATGTAGAGGACATGGTTATAAAAGTGTATTGAATAAACCTAAAATATTAAAAGGATAAAAGTGGAGTTTGTCTCACCAAGGCATTGAGTTGTTTGTCAACCGTTGCCTTATCAATAATAATAGTGGCATATCTGAGTGACCCTCGAGCCGCTCCAAGGCGCACAGGTCCGTCGTCCGGTTTCCCTCCTCCATTGTGACGTTTTCTCCTCCAAGACGTCACAGGTAAATTTTTGGTGACAGCGGTGGGATTCGCCAAAAACAGAATTTGAAAAACGGTATTCAGGATTTGTTGAAACAAGAATAAATAACAGAATTGAAAGAACTCCGTATTAATAACAACAGAATTAAAATCAATTTACTTCAAAATGCCGAAAGAGGATATTTCGAAATCTATCAAGAAGAACGAAACTTTCACTGACTTCCTTAACAAAGCAGACAAAAATCATTTTATGCAAGAACTTCAGCTAATGGAAAGGGACAAATCTAGAACCGAAAATAAAGTTAATCAAAGACTAGAACGGTCAAGCGAACAATCAACTAAGAAAGATTTAGACACTGAAAAAATCATATACGTATAAAATTCAATTTCAATTGCAAAATTCATAATTTAGTTAAATTTAGAAAATAATCCACTTATGAATCAAGAAGCTGAACAAAATCAGGACAATTTCTGGATCAATCTCTTTATTAGAACAGCACAAAGACATTTCGTTCAGGACCTTCAAAAATTAGCGAATGAAAAGGCTCGAAGAGAAAACGAAGTAAATTTGGAACAAGAACGATTTCTCTTACAGGCACAACGGGAATACGAGAAAATTGAAATACTGGTATACACAAGTGAATTCAGATAAAATCGAATCAAAATATCAAGGCCGGAGCGAAATCATTGGAAACTAGCAAATCATTAGAAGAGCTAAAAGTGGATCAAGATGACACAAATAAAAACTCCAATATCTATTCTACAAGAAATAATGATGAAAAAACAAAAGGTTCCTATTTATGACCTCATAATTAATGAAGAAGGAACCCATATAAATACTTTCGTATACAAAGATTCCTGCGACAATTTAGTGGTAACAGGTAAAGGAAGATCAAAGAAAGAAGCAAAAAATAAGGCTGCAAGTGCAATGCTGCAAATTATTATTAGACAAGACCCGCAACTACTAAGAGCCGCTACAACACTTCCTGATATTGAACCTCTGAATCTAAAAATACCGCCAAGACAATCAAGTGAACAGTTTGAAAATACGGTCGTTGATCTCTAAACATTGTGTATCAACAATAACCTAAATACACCCGAATATCAACTGGTCCGTGAGGATGGACCTGCGAACGATAAAACTTTCGATATTCAATGTAACGTGACCAGTCCTATTGAAATCGGCACTGCAAGAACGAAGGAATTAGCTAAACAGGAAGCTACAAGAATGTTAAATAAACTAAAAAACTTAATGTTTGATGAATCTCGAGAAGGTACAAGACTCTAATACAAGAAAGTCATTATTAGCACACGGAAATTCGGAATTCCGTGTAATTAAATAAATTCTGTGTTCCCCTCCGATTTATTAATTAATGTAAGTGTACCGGCCCTCCACAAAGGAATTGGGAAGGGAAACACCCCGACACTAATACAAATCTACCTCTCGGATTTATTAACACTAGATTGCCCAAGGAAGTCATTTTGACTGTTTTTGGGCAAATGTACAAA